AGATATCAACTAGACTCTCAAATCACTGGGCCAGTGTTAATCACTGGGGTCCACCAAATATTTTACCTTATCTCGGCTCCTTGATGTGGGCTCCAGATCAGAACTGCTTTTCCCGCCGTGCTTGTCCTGCACGCCATCTCTGCCCGCATCTATGACATTCCGTCTGGCCTTAGCTTGCCATAACCCACTTCTAGCTGTAAGTTTCCGGTCGAGTTGGGTCACTGAAATCACTGTCAGCTTGTCATAATTGCAGAAGCTCTTAGAGGACTCGACATATACTGGCATACATCTGTTGCCATCATCTGGTTACCATACCAGCCTTCGTACTCAGCCCATTCATACAGCTCAATAATACATGCTTCTGCCAGCCCCATACTTTGCGAGAGCCCTACTAAATATTCATATTTTGTTTAGATCACTAATTTGACTATGTATTCACTTTCAAAGGATCCTTACAAAAGATTGCAATTAGTTTGTGGAACGTCGTTTCGAGTCGATCTGGCAACACCTTGTCTAGGGTTTGGTAAGCCTGTCTCAACAGCATTTGAAAGTTCAGACAGTTGGTGGACGTCATGACAGGAGGAACTCTTAGCTCAGGGCTGCAAAAATCCTGCAACGTAGTCTTCCATTTATTTCATTAGGTCGGTCTTAATATGTAAAACAAAGATGCACATTTATAGTTAGTTGGGTTGTGATTTTTAAAGTAATACTCCCTAGATGAATGATAATTTTGAGGAATTTTATCTGGTGATTTCTTGTTTAAAAGGCTGCTGGTGTCAGTAAGCATTTATTTGTGTTTGAATCACATCAGATGTCAGTGCAGGATATTAATTAAGGTGGAATGTTGCCTCGTGCCTCCATGCTGGAACGTTTAAGTTCACGGACACCCTAATTACCTTGTGCTACTAATATTAATGATATTATCTGCACTTCTTCAAGATTACACCTCTTGATAATTACCACTGTCTTCCCATCATCCCTAACCATTTAAACTCTACAACTTAAGAGTCAATTAGCTACATAGCCTTCCCGGCTTGGTGTCTTCTATGATAATTACTTACTTATTAAATATTACAAAATACATTTCATGACTATAAAAACTATATAAAAAAAAATATTAAATGTAGCAAGCCTGAACAAAACCCTACAAACTGTTACAAGAGTATGGTATAAAATAATTTGACTCAAAAACATTACAATTGTAGGCGAGAAGGACGAGCCGTGGCAGCGCCATTGTGTGCGAACAGGGACATGGCTGCCTTAAATTGTGTTGGCGTTGATGGACCTGTACAAAGACCCCCATCATCTTTAAGACTGGGTGTCTGCTCCGAATTATACGTAAGTATCCTGTGATTAACATGTTGGGGTCTTGTTTGCAGAATAGCGAGGGGTTAATTATATATGATACGATGTTTACAATGGTGTATTAGCAGTTGGATAGTTCATTATTTCCATAACTTTGGTTCATTTATCATGTGGATTAGAACAACTATTATATTTTATCAGCAGAGATCTGGTATTAAAGTCTTTGTAGCTCGCTGAAAGGCAGCCTCACGTAGGAGTGCTCGTTAACTCTACAGTGGAGATATATTTTTGACTAAAGTATATTTGTGTTAATACTTAAGTGTGTTTGTTATTACTTAAGCGTGTTTGTTAATACTTCAGCGTGTTTGTTGATACTTCAGCGTGTTTATTAATACTTCAGCATTAATGTGGATTGCTTAATATGCTGATAACATTTATTCCGGAAACTGATTAAGCCTGATGACATGTTTTATTCGAAAAGTTGAGATGTTCTTAACTTTGCAATTTCCTTGGAAGGTTTGCCTTGGGTAGATTTTAGAATTTCAAATCACACTTCCTCTTACAAGATAGTAACAGGAATCAACAAAAATTAACAAAGACGAATTCTTGAAACCTGTAACTTCAAGAACAAGAGGTCATGGATTCAAACTAGGGAAACAAAGGTGCTGAAAAAATATTAGAAGGAAGTTCTTTTTTTGCAAAGAGAGTGGTAGACGGTTGGAAGAAGTTAAGTGAGAAGGAAAGGGTACTGGGAGGACCTTTCATCCGGGTTCTACACTTAGGTAATTACACTTCGGTAATTACACACACACATATTCAAATGTAGATAGACAGAACCCCAAAAATTCAGGAACCTGTATTCCAGTCTGTTGATGGCTGAAAGGAGGGACCCCAGAGCCGCAGCTGAGCCCCCGAAAGCATAACCAGAAGTGTACACACTGACAAAAAACACTGTACCCTCACATATGAGATCATATGTGTCAGTGAGCTAAGCTTGCACGCGTGGAATTTAATCCCCACTATTAAGCTTAGGCCTCACACCTGGCACAGTGACACACCTTCTGAGCTCACACCTGACACAGTAACACACCTGTTGAGCTCACACCTGACACAGTAACACACCTGTTGAGCTCACACCTGGCACAGTAACACACCTGTTGAGCTCACACCTGGCACAGTAACACACCTGTTAAGCTCACACCTGGCAAAGATTAAGTGATCAAATGTTTCTTCACCCTCCAGATGGTAGAAGATATTTGCGTAAAATGGAAAATATCCCAAAGAAAATTAATAATGGTCACAATGCAGTTGTGTTTAATGTGTATTAGAGAAAACCTGCTCCCAATATATATATATATAAATATATATATATATATATATATATATATATATATATATATATATATATATATATATATATATACATACAAATAATTTTATATTATTCATTTGCATGGACGATTGAAATAAAGGTCAAATAGACGTATTTATTTACTATTGTATGTAAGGGAATTCTGTAAGATATTACGTAAAATAGAAAAATCTTTTTTATTATTATTAAAAATGATTAGTTAAGCTTAATTAAAAAAATTATCCCATCGTGTATTTGTTGGGATTACAGACCTGAACGAGCCCAGAGCTAATTGTTTTTGGTTTGATCAGTTATTGAGAGAGAGAGACAAATAGAACAGTCTCTCTCTCTCTCCCTCTCTCTCTCTCTCTCTCTCTCTCTCTCTCTCTCTCTCTCTCTCTCTCTCTCTCTCTCTCTCTCTCTCTCTCTCTCTCTCTCTCTCTCTCTCTCTCTCTCTCTCTCTCTCTCTCTCTCTCTCTCTCTCTCTCTCTCTGACTCAGGAAATGTAATCTTGTAACCTCTAATGAATTCACATTCATCGTTTTAAAGTGAGCCATGAAAATGCTGTACCGGAAAACGGCGGATGTAAGCATCAAACTCTACGGAAAACATAACCTTTTATTTCAGACCACGAAAATCGCATTTTAACGCTTTAGATACTGATATTTCTTAAAGGGTGGCATTTGGGATGGTCCCCAACTGGCCTGTGACACTCACATACCCACAATGTGTCATCTTGGAAAGTTGGAATAGGCTAGCCCCGAGCGTCTTGCCTCCTACTATGAACAAAGAGGTTGGCTGACAGGTATTCTATTTTATAGATATAGATTGTGATAATCTTACTACCACTCCTGAGATTAATAGTTCTTGAGCTCGACACGAAACCAGTCTGGTCTTGGTGAAGATGACTGAACGTCTCACTCCTGCCGCGGGAACTGAACCCGGGACCTTTCGGTTGGGAACCAACTGTGATGACCACTGTTTATCAACACATCATTCGACACCCAGAAATGTCTTTGCTGTTGAGGTTAATTAAGGTTAATTATCAGCCAGGCGTAGGCATGTGTGTTAGTGGTTTAGAGCGTGCCTGGGAGTACCCCGCGCGCAGGTTCGAATCCTCCTCACGGTTCCTACTGATTTTCTCGTTATTGTTCATATCAAAGAGACGTTCTCGACAAAATGAATTATGTTCTATAGTTAGATATTCGATCAAGATGTATTAGAATTGGTTATTATACCTGAGAATTGTATTAGTAATGTGTACAAGTAATCATACTGTTATAAGTCTGTTCTGGGGTTGCTTTAGGTATGCTCGCACGCACCGTTTGAAATATGCACATATATTTTAAGTATGCTCGCCCGCGATGTCTTAAGCATACCTGCGTGTAAATATATGATCCAGTAAACTTTACCAGTTTCTGTCCTTCCATCAATTTGTTCGTGTGTCTATTGGTCTCTGTGTGTGGCCCGCACCAGTGTAATCTGATGAAGGGAAATAGTGAAGGTGAATCATTCCAATTGTTTTCCGCCCTCCACGGGTGGCCCAGTTAGGTGGGGGGAGGGAAGGGGAGTGGGGGTAGTTAGTGCATGTGTTTGAACCTTGCCAGAGAGATAAAGTTGCAAGTTTAATTAATAAAGTTGAAGTGTTGTTGCACGATGGGACGCTATGCAGTTTGGCTCTGTATGTACTTACCTAACAGTGTCTATGGGGGGAAGGGAGGTCTACAGCTTCTTATGCCTCGCCTACCAGCCTTATTGTATCTGTTGTATTATAATTGAACTATGCTAATGCTCGAATTCCTTGTCTAATCTGGACGTCAAATTGTAGATGGAGGTGGTGTCTACAGCTTCTTCTTTCAGGGTATTCCATTTGTTGACAACCTGTACAGGGTTCGAGTGTCCTGAATGTGTAGTCAACGGGTAGTCCTCACATTTTGTCGACTCATTAAAGAATTGTTTTTTTACAGCTTACACTTATGTCCACTTGTCATAATTATTCTTAATTTAAAGAGGTTGTCCTTGTCCATCTTGTATATTCCCTTTAGTATCTTGTATGCTGTGATCATATCCCCCTCTGTTTCTTGGAACTGTATCATCATTTGGCCTTCCTTGGGCTGGCTTCAGGCTCCTGTTTGGGTTGGACCATCCTCAGGCAGGCTTCACCGCATCCTGAATCACGGTGGTTGTACAATGAATCTCTCTATGGGATTTCTCTGAAGGTTCTCATCAAGAACTTGTTTAATTTGTGAATAATATGCTAACAGATGTTCAAACCACTGGAACTATTACATTGCTTAAGGCTCAACTAGCAGTATTTAAAAGTGGTTTCATGGAAACACAATGCAACAATCAACAGTTTATTCAACAGAATTATGTGCTAATACACTGGGTACTGTTGTTACTTGAGATTGTTGTCGGCAAAGTTATTATTGCATCAGAGACATGGAATGTCTAACTGAACAATCTCCCTCCATACGTGGACAACACCAAACTTGACAGTATTGGACACCAATCATTAACATGGTTTCCTATCACTGCTGGTATGCAAAGGGATACACACAAGTTCCAATTGGTTTACTTGGGTAATCACATTGGCTTGTGCAGTGAATAAATAAGAGCACTGTCAATGGGACAGACAATATTCAGGTACAATAATCAATACTCAAATACCCTGGTAATGGGACAGTTATCAAAACATCAGACTGGAAATGGACTGGAGCACCTGTCATTCACTGTGACAGGTTGCAACACATGGTACCACAAAGATAAGCACGTGTTTACTGTCTAATCTGTCTTTATCCACATATGTACAATTTCCCTCACAAGAATGCTTGCTTGATGATCCTTTGGGTGCATCCTTTGTTTCCGTATTGGCCAATCATAAGCAGGCTGACCTGCCGCTATCTAAGTTGAGTAGGATGCTATAGGCTCATCTGTGGTGACATGGATCAGTGTGTCACGATTGCGTCACTAATTCTTGTTCGACCATATGACCTGACCTGCTAATCTCTCGCCATCCCCTGAGCAGAATATTTCTGTCTGTATCATCTAATATGGCCGTGGCGTCGGCCTCTTATGGTGAAAATGTTTAACTCGTCCTAGCTAGTCATGCACTGGATATACGACGGCCATTGTGACATAACTAGGCTGCGAGCAATGAGAGCTTCACAGAGATATTCATGTTGCTAAACGTAAGACCGGTCATAAGGAATATAGGATCTGTAATCTCTGGTGTGTGTGTGTGCACTCTGGCACTCGAGGGCAGATTTCCTGACTAAGTGCAATGTAATGTGTCATTTTTAACTCACCCGTGGGACACCCTAAGAGACCATTATTTCACACAGATGTCTTGTTGCAGCGAGTGATGTTGTTAAGAGTGATGTCTTGTTGCAGTTAATGATGTCTTGTTGCAACGAGTGATGTCTTGTTGCAACTAGTGATGTCTTGTTGCAACTAATGATGTCTTGTTACAACTAGCGATGTCTTGTTGCAACTAGTGATGTCTTGTTGCAACGAGTGATGTCTTGTTACAACTAGCGAGGTCTTGTTACAACTAGCGATGTCTTGCTGCAACTAGCGATGTCTTGTTGCAACTAGAGATGTCTTGGTACAATAAGTGAGCATGTGGTGTTGCAGTTGTCCCCGTGGTGGGCTAGTAGCGAGCCATGACTCGCAAGAGGTGCTCATAGACCAGCGTGTCCGCGTGGAGAGCCCTGCACACGGGAAAAGATCAACTGGTCAGCAACACAACATCACTGGTTCAAGATATTATACAAAAATAATACAAATAATAATCCTAATGCAACTAATAATTCAAATTATATAACTGATAATAATAATAATAATAATAAATAATAATAATAATAATAATAATAATAATAGTAATAATAATAATAATAATGCACAGAGAAATCATCTACCTCATCATCATCATCAGTGATGTATCAATCATATTTTGGTTCAGATATGAAATGATTCAGGTCTTAAATTTTTTCACTAAGCCGTCTGTGATTGAGTTAAAACTTATAAATTCATACGACTATGTGTAGTCAACTCAGTTGTGTACACGAAAGTAGCTAACTCAATGACGTACACAAAAGTACCTGACTTAGTAACGAACAGAAAAAGAGGCTAAATTCCACGACGTCACAAAAGAGACGTACCACACAAAGTCCAGATGCGTAAAGAGAGGATCCTCGACGCGGTGCTCGTAGACAACATTAGGTAATTCGCTCACCAGGTGTAAGACATCCTGAGGAGCAAAAAGAGATAGAATTATATTAGCCTAAGCAAGTTATAATTCTTCTTATTTCTTTGGCAGAATCATCCTTCCAGGACATTAAAGTTGAGCTCTGCTAGGTTTTCTGTTTGTATTACAGCTGATTAGTGTAATAATTGAGGCTTAAGTTTATAGAGAAGTATGATAAGGGATTCAATCCAAATATTATACGGTAAACATGTTCGTTTTAGCGAAGCCTGTTATAGAACAGGTTTGTGTTAGTGTATAACATTATTTGTATACATATGACTATTGCTTTAATATTTCTTCCCTAAATTTTTTACACTTAAAGTACATAAATATACTCCATACAAGTCTTCCTTACGAAAAACAATAGTTTTAATATATTTTCCCTAAACTGAGATCTAAGCAGATCTCACCTACTGTAAGGCCCCCATCTACATCACACCTTACTGTAGGATGTCACCTACCGTAGGATCTGCTAGCCAGTCGTGTTGGGACCAGAAGACAGCAACCGGTGTTGTCACATGGCTCAGGTTGTAAACTGGAGGACTCGCCGAATTATAATGCTTCAGGTTCCCTAATTTTCCAAAGTCATATTTCTGAAACTTTCCTGGAAAGAGATATCATTTAAATGATAATGTAATTGATGGTATATTTCCATAATTGGATGCATGATCAATATTGATATATGATATTCATCTAGGGGATTAAAAAGTTGATATAAATATAGGGTTTTCGGATATCGTATTAACATTCTGTAACGAAGTAATACATGTTTTCTATAAGAAATAATTATATATGCTATTGAACTCAGTCTGTTGAATGTTTTATACTAAGATAATAAACATTTTAATTTATAAGTCAACATTCAGAGGACACCATCAGTGTACATAAGTCAAAATCAACATTTCATATGTCAAAATATCATACTCTGAAAGTACCAACAATACCACTCAACACATACACAACCGCATGCACCTCCGCGATAATTGGAAGTGACGGCTTAGGCCTATAATTTCGACAGTGGTAGGCCTATAACTTCCAAAGAGAGCCACATTCAGAATATGTAGTTCATTATTAACAGCAACAACATTACCTGAATTGACTTCCTGGAGATAGTGCGTAACTGTGCGTACAGAAGTGCCGGCCGGCGTATGGGATAACATCACAGGTAGAAACTCCTGATGGGAACATTTTTGTTAGAATTATTACACTGTACTTCACTGGTAATTCACTGACAATGTACTTCAGTTTAGGAGAATGGCGATATATGAGTCATCACAAATTATTCTCTGATACCTGATCATCACAAATTATAACCCTGATACCTGATTATCACAAATTATAACCCTGATACCTGATCACTACAAATTATAACCCGATACCTGATTATCACAAATTATAACCCTGATACCTGATTATCACAAATTATAACCCTGATACCTGATTATCACAAATTATAACCCTGATACCTGATTATCACAAATTATAACCCTGATACCTGATCATCACAAATTATAACCCGATACCTGAATCAATACAAATTAAACGCTGATAATCGAGTTAGCACAAATTAATTTCTAATATTTGTACACTAACGTGGATAGCAAAACCCGAAACAGCCTAACCTAACCTGTCATGGGCCTAAACGAGCAATTTTAAAACCAAAATAAGCACAGTCTAATTTAACAACACATACGTACATTATGAGCCCGAGGATATGTTAATTTTAGCTGTTGCCTTCATTCTCGGCCCAGCTACAAAATAACATTGCAAGACGTGACCTTTGTGTACCAGTTCATATTGTGTACCTTCCACACACACAATCACTGTGTGGGCTATTATTGTTGCTGGAGAGATTGACTCCTGTAGGAAAGGTATTAACTTTGTACTAATAGACTGTGTATTAATGGACTGTGTACCATTGGACTGTGTATCAATGGACCGTGTAACAATGGACTGTGTACCTTATTTAGTTCCTCAGGGTTGGGGCCACAGAGGAGAAAGAGAATGTTGCTGCAGATTAAAGAAGTGAAGAGTTTCTCGTTGCAGAAAGTAGCGAGGAGACGGTCCATTACAGGTCCAAATGACAGCATTTCATATTTGCCCATCAGAGACAAGGTGGTCTGGGGAAAAAGAGGTTACAAAAATGGCAGAGAGGAAGGCGTATGGACTGTGTACCTTATTTAGTCCCTCAGGGTCCGGGCCATAGATGAGAAAGAGAATGTTGCGGCAGATGAAGGAAGTGAACAATTTCTCATTGCAAAAAGTAGCGAGAAGACGGTCCATTACAGGTCCAAATGACAGCATTTCATATTTGTCCATCAGAGAGAAGGTGGTCTGAGGAAAAAGAGGTTACACAAATGGCATAGAGGAAGGCCTATTGGTCCATACGAGGCAACCTTCTATTTGTATCACCCCTAAGTAATTCATTACATGTCTAACCTACGCTTGAAACAATCCAAGGATCCCATATCTGTTAGGTTACCGGTAATTTGTTCCATAAGTCAACAACCCTCCTTCCAAACGAGGTCAAAATGAAAGCATCTCATATTGACCCATCAACGTGGCCTGGTGAATGAAGAAGCGAGGTACGCGGCTTGAACCAAAAATCAGCACCCTATTCCTAACCAAATATGTCTTGCAATCAAAACCAGGTAAATTTATATAATATAAATTATTATGTAAGCTGTTGAATAGGAATACTGTATTTTTAAATACAGTATTGTATAATACAGATTGGCTACTCACAACAATCACTGCAGGTGGAGAGAAATCCTCATGGTTTTCAGCGGGATCCAAATGCTAACATACACTCAACATTTAACATACACTCAAAATTTAACATACACTCAAAAGAATGAAAGATCAGCAGTTACTCCATGTGAACTGAGAGCAAAGTTCTAGAATACTATTTTAGATCCAGATAATCACATCAAAAATGTTAATATATATATATATATATATATATATATATATATATATATATATATATATATATATATATATATATATATATATATATATATGTTAATTTTAACTTCAATAAAAGAAAATTGCAAGATTTTGAATATACAGTATCGCCACAAAACAGGGCTCGTAATAATGGATATAAATTGGATAAGAATAAACTCAGGAAAGACTTGGGTAAATACTGGTTTGGAAACAGGGTGATATATTTATGTAACAAATTACCATGGGATCGCTGGATTGTTTCGAGCGTAGGTTAGACATAAACATGAAAAAGTTTTGCCTGGACATAAATAGAAGCTGCCAAGTATAAGCCATTAAGCTTACTGCAGTTTCAATTATTATGCTCATATTAACCAATACATTAGAACCATTTATTACCATATTTTCTATGGTATTCAATACAGTAATAACGAAGTAATGACTTACTTCGATTTGATTGACAAAGGTGGCAGCATACCCCAGAGGCCCCTCAATGTGTCGCACGTAGGCTACGGGACCAAGGGCAACCATGAATCGAATCTGTTTGATGAGATACAAGTGATTACAATGACTGGTCATTTCACGATAACAACACGTGTTCTGCTATACCAAGAAATCTTATTTAGTATATACCTGATATACCAAGAAATCTTAGTTAAAACCTTAATTATTGTGTAACTGCATTGTGTTAGATCATGTTCCAGTGGTCTGTTGGGCATTTCCCAACAGTGCTGACTGACATTTCCTCTCATCTTCCGGAACCTGTAAGAATATTCCCCATGCACGTGGGAATCCAAACCGCAAGCGATTTGAAACATCAACTTACTTGAAGTAAACTGAATTTTGCTATACTTCAATACCTCTTTGGATTAGAGATAATTTACAGGCATGCAAATAAAAAAAACATGCATAATACAGCAAATTCTGTGATACAACATAGACAAAATACAGCAAACACTGAGATACAACAGATATAATACGGCAAAGAATGCAATACAATAGACATAATACAGCAAACAGTGAGATACAGCCAAGACATACAGTGAGATATAGCCAAGACATAACATAACAAACAATGAGATGCAACAGACATAATACAACAATGTGATACAGCCCAGACATAACACACCCAAGCACGATAACAGAGGAAATAGATCACCTTGGCAGCATACTGTGGGCGGTCATTCAGCATGCCCCAGAAGACCGTAGTGCCCATGCTGAAGCCCACGTAATACAAGCTTTTTTGGCCAGTCAAGTCCAGTATGTAGTCGATAGCTGCTGGCGCGTCGTACAGCGCCATCTCGCTCCAGCTGTCAGGTAGCGAACACATGGTTTAGTACAGTGAATGTTGTTGTAGCTTACAGCACATGGCAGGTACATTGGATGTTTTGTAAGTTACAGCACTGGCTGTTGTAACTCTGGCTTACATGGGCAGGTATAGTGGATGTTTTTGTAGGTTACATCAGTGACTTGTAACTTTGGCTTACATGGAAAGATACAATAACCTGAAACTGAATTATATGGACAAATACAGTACGTGCTGTAATTTTGACATAATCTCTTGGCAATAGGATTCAACCTGTTTATTTTTAAAATATTCGAAGCAAATTTTACAACATTTGAAGAATTTGTGTAATATTTCAATCCTTTAGGCCTAGGGTTCTGTTCTGTGCACGTATATTCCTGTATCATTCTTTAAATTTACATTCGTTTTACAATAGTTAAAAACTAAAGATTAATATATATATATATATATATATATATATATATATATATATATATATATATATATATATATATATATATATATATATTATATTTGAAATAAATAATTTTATTAAGGAATATGAACAGCAAAAGGTGTGGTCTGCTTCTCGGTGTATATATATAAATTGAGAGCTAGCTTTAGGCGTGAACTACGTTCAGGACTCAAGTATACTTGCTGCCTGGTTAGTAAGGAATTGTGGTGACTTTAATAATTATCTAGGTTCTAGAGGTTGACGTATTCCTTAAGGCCAGCACCAGACATAGTGGTGGCTTAGTAAGCTATTATGGTGGGCTTAATAACCCTCCACGGGTTGATACAGGCAGTAGGCCCAACACCAAATATACTCAGTAAACTATTGTGGCGGCACAAATCTTACCTGAATTGCCAAAATTCTTTGTCATGTGTGGAGAGTTTAACATGAGTGCGAGAGTAGGTGTTGCCGCGAGCGTTGGTGAGCCAGACGTCGTAGCCAGCGTCCGCTAGCATGTAGGCTGTCATGGATACAAGGGAACACGCGTCAGAACCAATACCGCCACCCACCTTGAGATCACACTAGCTTCTTGTTGATGTTTTAGATTCAGCTACTCTGAACAAAAAGTTCCAAGTAGCACGGGCTATGGTGAACCCGTAGTGGACTTTTTCTCACAGTAGCGTGATATGTCTTTGAGCATGCCCAATAGAATCATAATAGTGTTTGGTATATCTATGAGAAAATCTTTTTTGGGGGCAGTGCAACGGAGTCGAACTTCCGTCATTTTTTTTTTTAATTATTAATATCAGCGTATAATTCCCGGTGTCGGAGACAAGAAGCCTAGGCCTATCAAGTTCCCCTTATAGGCCTCCCACTAACCTTCCCCAGTATGCAACCCACAAGTTACCTAGCTCCTTGGTACCTATATACCGTTAGGTGAACAGAGACATCAGGTGTTAAGAAACATGCCCAACCGTTTCTGTCCCATGCGGGCCCTGAACCCAGGTATGTAACTTGTGAGCCGAGGATATATAGAAAACATTAAATTTGAACCCGTCAGTATCAAAATTACATTGAATCGAACTATAAATTAAATGTATACTCGATAGAATCTCAAAATGTTCCTAAATTTCTTTGAATAAAACTGAAAAGAAAATAGAAAAATCTCATTGAATACCTGAAAATGTGCACAATTTCTTTGAATGCCTACAAAATTTAACAAAATATTCTTTGAATCCTGAAAATATAACAAAATATCTTTGAAAATCCGAAAAAATATCTGAATAACTGAAAATGTAACAAAAATATCTTTTCACTAACTGGAACAAACATAGAATTAGTTTTATTACCAGAAAATCAGATTTCAAGCACCGACCTAGAGCCTTGTCAGGGTAGTTCATGATGAAATCTGAGGAAGAGCAGAGGAGGCAGTGGTGCAGGAACGCTACGGGACGACGCCGCGGGCAGCTAGAGTGTTCCCTCGTAGCCTCATCGTCGTCAGGAGCCTGGCGACGACCAGCCTTGATGCCACAGGGGATCCTGTGCAGCTCCAGGATGTACCCGTCCTCAGTAGTGACGTGGTGGGTCTCCGCCGGGTACCCATTGGCTTTGATTAGTTCGGGCTGGAAGGATTAGTTGTGGCTAGAATGATTAGTTCAGGCTGGGAGTAGAAGGATGTGTGAATGGTGGAGAGAGTTGTGTTTTGCTGTCGGTAATCATCGTCAATCATCTCCACGATTATTGTCAATGTAATCATCATCAATCATTATCATCTTCACAAGCATGCTCATCATTATTATTATTTTTCACACTCATTCCCATAATTGTCATTTTCCAGCTTCACAATCATTCCTATCAATATCTACCAACTTCAAACTCGTTATCATCGTCATTATTAGAATTCATCATCATCACACTGAATATCATAATCATCGTCATCTGCACAATCGTCATATTCCGTCTTCATCATCACCAATCAGCATCATCAATTATCATCAATCATTAGAAAATACTTCTCGAATATAGTTCTCAAAAGGAATCAGAAATACATAATATTCATCATTAAGTATTGACAGAATATTTTAATTTAGTCTAATGGTTAAATATAATTCGCTATATACTAGGATTACTTAGCTATAGATTAGGAATTATTCAATATAAACCTGGAATCATCCTCAATACACTAGAAATCATCAGTAATGGACTAGCAACCATCCACAGTAGACTAGCAATCATCCGCAATAGATATGTAATCATCCGAAATAGACTAGCAATCATCCACAATGGATTTGGAGAGAATTATCAGGGTAAAGCGTCAAGCCATTACGACTAAATAGCACTTGGAAGGGGAGAAGGATAAGGATCTTGTGGATGGGACGGGGGAGAAGGAATGGTGCCCAACCACTTGGACAGTCGAGGATTAAACGCCGACCTGCATGAAGCGAGTCCGTCGCTCTACCGTCCAGCCCAGGTAAGTGGTTGGGTCAATAGGCTAGGAATTCTCATCACAGGTTGAAAAGAACAGAAGTAAGGCGAATGATTATATATATTCTGAGCGAAAACTCTCGCGATAACATCTAGGCACATATGGCCTATAAAGGAAGGATTTACTATAGTAAGGACCTGTAGGAGGACCTCCTTCCCGGCAGACCTACCGTGGTGACATTAGCGCGAGAGTCGTATTTCTTGAGCACCTTGCGGAGCCAGCGGGCGGAGGAGGTGCTTATTAAGCGGCTTTCAGCCAGGTCCTCGTATACTACCACCTCCCCCATCGTTTGCCACACCACCAGCAACCCCATCATCACCACCAACATCGTCACCAACGCCATCTGCCGCACATAGCGAAGTCATATCAGACATTGAAACCTCTTTGAAACTCATTTTGTAATGTTTAAATTTATCAAGTCAAAATTATCATTATTAAATCAAATAAGTATTATTTTTGTATAAAAATACAAATCAATGGGTACAGAGTTAATATCACCCAATCGATTTAACAATCAACATTTGAAATTTTGTATATATTGCAATTTTCATCCAAGCCCTGGAACCTTTCCTCTCAGCGTATCACAAGCCGAGTCTATGATTATCACTCAGAATTTCAGTATTATTTAACCTAATGAAAGCGCTCACTAAGGTATTTGTTATGAACTACAATGTGAACTGGCCTGTTCTCATTGTCTTGAAATAGGTTAAGTTCATTTGCACATGCGAATTTGCAAATTAGAAAAGTGGAGAGTCGAGCAACAGCACATTGACCATCTTGAGTATATAAATGTAGGAGTAATTAAGTTACTCAATAGGCTTTTAATCTTGCTGAATTTGCATGTGCGTAACGAGAATGTTTTAGTTTAATTCTTATTCGTGTTAATTTGCATACTGCATGTCAGTAATTAATTTGTATTTGCGTATGCTAATTACGTTGTAGGCCTACGTACATTTAGTTAAGGTAAAAATATATATAGAAACTTAAATGTAATATCTAGCTTGTAATGTTTTAATTTGCATACAACCTTATCGACCTTAATATAGCATTGATTATCCACCTTAATATATCAGTAATTATCGACCGTAATATAGCAGTATCCACCTTAATATATAAGTAATTATCGACCTTAATATAGCAGTGATTATCGACCTTAATATAGCAGTGATTATCGACCTTAATATAGCAATGATTATCGACCTTAATATAGCAGTGATTATCGACCTTAATATAGCAGTGATTATCGACCTTAATATAGCAGTGATATCGACCTTAATATATCAGTGATTATAACCTTAATGTAGCAATGATATCGACCTTAATATAGTAGTGATCATAAACTGGTCAATAACACCTTTGCTGATTTATATCTAAGATTAGTTGCAGTCTAATTTGAGGCGCTGAACCAGTGTCACATTGATTTATACCATTTGGTCTTTGATATTTGGTTCTCCAACATTTAAGCATGTTTTAACCTGTTAGTTCTTCTGAGTTCCGTATTTATCCTAAGCTCTGCTATCCCACAAGCATAAGAATCATGGATATTTCGTGTATCCTCCTTCTTGACGAAGTAAAATGTTCACCATTTTAAGATGCACATAGATGATTCCGTTATGGTCATTATATTTGGGTAAGTAAACGATGTCACAAAAACTACTTGAAATGGTCCAGGGCGAACCGAAACGTTGTCGTTTCTTAATTTTCTTAATGGTGGTTTGGTCGTCAATTTTGAGTAACACTAGAACTTTTTTGGTGTGTCCATATTCTTTAAGATGTACAGATTGACCAAAGGAAACTGAACTATATGAATTTCCGTCATGGAGTAAGACATACCTGACGCCTCTCTTAGAACTATCTAAACACAATCACCACTCATGGTGTCACGACTATTGCATTTAACGAACCTGCCACATCATAAAAATATACTAAAACACTATCAACTCTTAAAGTATTGTAAAATATTTTTTCCCCTTTTCTTCCTTACGATACAATGTTACATTTGGATGACGCAGGAGTAAATTCTTAGCTGTCACTCTCGAAGCTGGCAGTTCTGATGCTTCTTTTGGAAGACTTAAATCTCCTAATAAAGCACTGAAGTCTCGTCGTTGAACCACGTTCTTCAAAATCCACCTCAGAATCAGGATCGACATCACCTGCCATATTCCCCTCGTTCTCAAGTGAAGGAAGCACATTAATAACGTATGCATGTATGTCCTCCGCATGGGGCACTGGACGACCTGCTGAATCCGGGCTAGGCTACGTGAGTTTTGCTCGAAGCAAGATATATATTAAAACGAATCTCTGTCCCTTGAAGAAAGATTCATGGCGGACTAATAATATTCACACATTGAGCGACACATGTTTACTAATTGGTAAGGAGTCCTGATAACGATGCGACCTCTGCGATTAGGATATGATGGCCTGGCCTTATCTGTGGTGATTGTGTATTGGTAGAAGCCCTTTAAAGATATAAACAGATAAGCTCTTAAATATATTATTAATATTATCTAGTAATTATAATACAATGTGGGTTACGATTGTCAAGGACAGGAAGCCTGTTCAACCTATCCCGGTCCCCACTGCTGACGTTCCCAGGATGCAACCCACACCAGTTGCATCCTTAAGAGTAACTATTTACTCAAACATCTTTCCTGGCGGGAATCGAACCCAAGACCTTTGCGTTGTGAATCATCTGCACTGAGCACTGGGCTACTGTGAAACACTAGGGGAAGCTCACATGTTTATTTCATAACACACTGGAAGGGGTACCCGGCTGTGCTCGGGTCTTTTCTCACCCTCGTCCCCTCTGCTTTCATTATCCTTCTTCCTATTTCCCCACTTTCAACAAATTTATTATTACGAAGCACTGTAATTGCTGAACAATTCTATGGAAAACACAACACAAATTTCAGACTTGATTTCATGAAAATCTCCTGGTTGGCTCTATAAATATTTCTTAAAGCATTTCACTTGGGCCGACACCGACTGGCCTCTGACACTCCTCTACTCAATATGATTTTTTTTTTAAAGTTGGTTGAGACTAGCTCCAAGCGTCTGGCCTCCAACCGCGGACTATACCTATAGTGATTATGTATAGAATAAACATATTTATGTTCATGAATATGTTCACAAAAATAGTCTGTTTTGTACTATTCGAATTTGAAAAGGGCATACCAAAAACTGCAAACTGTCCTCGGGCCAGGTTGCTGGCCAGGTTGTAACCAGGACCTCAGTACATATACAGCTCGTTAGAACTGCCACCGTCTTCCAAGACATATTTATCAATTTTAACATATTGTGTATTAAAAAATATAGGTTTGTTCCCATATAAATTAATATTAATATATATTAAAGTTCTATGTATAGTTAGGCATAGCTTAGGTTAGGTGTTCAGGTTTTCTTCGAGATTAGTTGCACTTGTTAATACGTGGGTGAAGACCCACGATTTGCAACCCGTCCTCCTAATAGAGCGTCACATATTGACGTATACTCTATTTAAGGGCAAAATTCGTCGTACTAGAAAATGGAAGCGGCTCGCAAAATTGATATGCAGTTTCGTTTTCTGTTTTGGGTCCTCTGATAAGTTCGGATAAGGGCACTTTAAGACGCCAGTTTTTTGACGTTGGAAAACCTTAGGAAGACGGGTTGGCGATTCGACAGCTCGTCCTCATCAACAGCACTATAATCAGCCACGTACTCCAAATACCAATAATTATAAACAAAACCTAACTATCTAACCTAACCTAAGTTAAGCCTAATTATTCAACACATTCTAGTATATAATAACATTACTTTATAATTGACAAAAGGCCAATTTTGCTTACGCAGTACGTTAAAATTTATGAATGTGTCTTTGAGGTCGGCCGCTGCCTTAACGAGCCTAGCCTGAAGACAGGTTGCAGCTAATACATTCCATCAATTCCAACTATAGGAACATCCATAGTCACTATAGGTATCACCTATAGTCACTATAACTATAAGAGGTGCAAATATTAAAATTTTTAGAAGGCAGGCTGATTCCAACTTCTCAAAGCTCATTGGAGTATAATGTAGCTGATTACCAGAGCATAAATTATTAAGCTATCTAACATGATTTCATGTTAATTAAACATGTCACGCACTGTTCTCTGTGATCCGGTTCATTTAAACAAAAATATTTCCACGAATGCTCCCCATTTGTTCCCTGATGACGTTTCCACAGGCAATGGTATAGGCATTTAATCCAGATAAAGATCTTCACGTACCTCCAGCCACGTTTATCTGCATAGTCTTTATCAGAAAACACACAAATTTGCATCAATCATGCAGGAAACGAAACTAGATTAGACAAAAACGACGATAAACTCACGTAAATCAAGAAGCGAAGGTCCATCCTGATCAAAACATCAACACTGAGAAGTCTGGCCTTCGTTTTCTGTGAGGCCGACCGAACAGGGGGAGACTAATGGGAAACCTGACTGTCATAATACTAATATTTTATTCATATAACATAAAATGGGTACGAATAAAGTGGTTACATGGAGGGTAAATAAATTTTATATTGCTTAAAGCCACTAGTTACAGTTTTTCAGGCATAACTTTAAATTATTTGGTTTAGTTGTAGAGTTATTGGGGGTAACAATGCTATACGATCAGCCCGTCCTCTCCAGTTGTCACAAAACAAATGTACTAAATTGCTCGAACCTAACCTAACCTAACCTAACCGAGGACCCATGCATAGAAAACGTGACAGCCTGTCAATTTTGAGAGCAGCTATGATTTATATAGTATGTCATATTTTGTCGAGGAGGGATATCCCATACATATCAAAATGCGATGCGGTATTTGAGAGGACAGGTTGACGAGACATACACTAGAGGTTATAAAGATTCGATAACCATACAGGCTACACAAGGATTCGATAACCATATAGGCTACACAAGGATTCGAACCATGGCTGCCAGGGTATCAACCACTAACAGATCAGTACCATGTAGCCTACATTAATAGACGCAGATATTGTTGTTGTTACATCTTAGTGCCTTCCAGGTGAGAGTGACTTACACTAGGTGTACCAAAGGCAGGTACTCACTTCCGTTGGAGTACTGAAGACGGGTTTCCCAGGTAATTTGAAAGAATCATCCGCCTTAACTATCACTGATATGGGTATAAAACTGTAGATTAACCGTGAAAGTGAGCACACCATCGTTGCCACAAGTGAAAACATGTTCATCATTCCGTGTTCTTTGTGATCTATACACCCGTTGAAAAGTTAACGCTCATACAAACTAGAACAAAAACGGGTAACAGATTCGTTTTACGAAATTCAAAATTCTATTGAACGGACGAAACGCAATTTCAAATAAGCAACGCACGTAATTTAAAATGTCAACAAACAACGTTTGCTTACTGGAGCTGTATTGTAGTGAAACACGACGTCACTACAAGTGATAACACCATCAACACATGAAATAGAAAACCCATAACAGAAGGATTGAATGAATCAAATTTTAAAATCCACCCGGCAGTTCTCACCCAAAAAGCGGTACTCACCTCCCAGGCAGGACTCACCCCTCGGGCAGTACTCACCTCCCAGGCAGGACTCACCCCTCGGGCAGTACTCACCTCCCAGGCAGGACTCACCCCCCAGACAGTACTCACCCTTCAGGCAGTACTCACCCCACCGTCAGAGGGCCCCACAGAGACTGAGGAGCGTGACCACGCGGGACTCTCCAACACTCACTAACAGGAAACAGATATGGTAGCCTCATTATCCTGTCATATTTTGTGTACTCTTGGCGGTGCGTACTCTTTGTACTCATGACTTGGTATAGTTTTGACTGGGTGTAGATTTGACTGGGGTGTACTTCTAGCTGTGTGTAGTCTTAGCTGTGTACTCTTAGGTGGTTGTACTCCTGCCTGTGTGTACTCTTAAGCTAAGTCTACTCATAGCTGGGTGTACTCTTAGGTGTAATCTTGACTGGGTGCACTCATCTATTTGTGCTCACTTATTTGAGACTGCAGGATTGAGCACTAGCTATTTCAGCCCGCCTTTCTAGCCACCAGTTGTTTAATGCAATGACTCCTGGCCTATTTCTCTATCATTTATATTTTTAAAGTTATGAATGTAGTTTGCCTCTACAACCTGCTGTTTTAGTTCCTGGTTGATACCTGGTTGATACCTGGTTGATGGGGTTCTTGGAGTTCTTCTACTCCCCAAGCCCGGCCCGAGGTTAGTTTATTCCATTTCCCACTATTCTTATTCTAGAAGAAAATGTTATGACATCTCTGTAACTCGTCTGGGTCTGAAGCGTCCGTCCTCGTCCTCTTGTTCTATTGGTATTCATGTTGCACAGTTCCTCTTTTTCCACTGTCTTTTCCTCTAAGTATTTTATACGTGTATTTTTTCTCTCTCTCTCTCTCTCTCTCTCTCTCTCTCTCTCTCTCTCTCTCTCTCTCTCTCTCTCTCTCTCTCTCTCTCTCTCTCTCTCTCTCTCTCTCTCTCTCTCTCTCTCTCTCTCTCTCTCTCTCTCTCTCTCTCTCTCTCTCTCTCTCTCTCTCTCTCTCTCTCTCTCTCTCTCTCTCTCTCTCTCTCTCTCTCTCTCTCTCTCTCTCTCTCTCTCTCTCTCTCTCTCTCTCTCTCTCTCTCTCTCTCTCATATTGCTAAAGCATTCTCGGTATAATTTGTGGTGTTAAGAAACACTCCACCTCCCACTACCTTGCCCCTCCACCCTCTGCCCCTTCCCTTAGCTTGCCCTCTGCCACCCCTAAGGGGATCCGGACCTTCCTCCCTGACCCCTACCTCTGCCCTCTCTCCCCTTTAAGAATCCATTTCTACTCAGCCTGCCCCTACCCTTTAAGACCTCTCTCAACCCCTTCCCCCGCATCACCCCCTCCTCCCCCCCCCTCTCTTGGCCTCACTCCATTACGCCACACTGAAAACTGTTACCTCATTTCCCCTCTCAGGAGCTGCGTTTTATAGCGTGTTTCACACGCAGGCGTGTGTGTGTGTGTGTGTGTGTGTGTGTGTGTGTGTGTGTGTGTGTGTGTGTGTGTGTGTGTGTGTGTGTGTGTGTGTGTGTGTGTGTGTGTGTGTATGGGGTACAGGAGAACTGACAAGGAGTACATGAGAGCTGACATCGGGTACAAGTGAGCTGATATAGCGTACAGGAGAGTTATAGCTCTAAACTGGAAAAACCTGAGGACCCAAGCAAGTAGCTAAAACAGCGTGTCTTAGGTTAATAACAAAGAGTATGCGCAACCTGATATTCCCATGTTTTAAATCCTTGAATTTTTGTAGCAATATAAATTGCTACATCAATTGTTCTCTACGGATTTTCTCATTGATTTAGTCAGGTTAGTGTGATTACTCTGTGTATTGAAAGAGGAGCGTCCAGAGCCAGAGTACATGGGGGGAATTGTGTGAATATCCTCTTCTGGCTTCAGTTGAAGCCTCAGAAAATCGTTGTGTTCAGTAGAACTCTAGGTTACAATCCTTGTACCATGTCGTGGTCTAGTCGCTAGCAGCGTGTGCGTGGGAACATTAACCATATAGGTTCGAACCCTCATTACTGCTCCTACGGATTTTCTCAATAATAATAATTAATAATAACAATAATAATTGGATAAGATGAAAAAATCTGGCATTATCGTATTTCAAAACCGGTTCCTTTAATGCTGGAATATGGTTGATACTTCCTGGCTGCTAAGATAATGGAAGATTTTTATAATCTCTGGTTAGTTTCTTTCTGCCGATGGCAAAACAATAATTCAAATATTTTTAATGTGCATGCGCATTGCCCGTTTGCCATTTCCTATATCAGTGAAAACGCTTTAGAATTTTGGGTTTATCAAGTAAAACTACTGAACGTTTATTACAACGCTAACATTATTATTAGTAGTAGTAATATTACATTAGCCGTTCGTAAATCCTGACGGTCAGTAAAGTTGTGAAAACAATGGCAGAATTAGAGGTGATGGAGGATAATGACAGTTTAACGAGCGAAGAGGAGAAACTTGGACGGATAGTATAGTAGAGTAGCGTGATAAATCCTCATATATAACTAGAATTATAGAGACTGGAGCAACTAGCATGTTAGCAAAGAGTGGTGAAGTATAGCACTAGGAGAGACGGGGATAGCTAGCGTGGTAGAGACGTGTGATAAAGCCTCGTATTACACAATATACGACGGCAGCAAATTTGCCGTTGGTAACACTGGAATTTCCCGCCAGTTTATGCTTGCGTCTCTATCCGCCGACTAAATATTTAATTATACATTTTTTGAGTGAGATTTTTCCCAGCCAACATGTGTACTATGATGCAGGAATGTATATATAATGGGGGTGGTAGGAGAAGATAATATTAGTGTTCAGTGAGAAACCACAAGGTCTCCTCTGAATACTTTTTATTTTCTTCTCCGAGGCTATGGGTCCCCTATATATATATATATATATATATATATATATATATATATATATATATATATATATATATATATATATATATATATATATATATATATATAATATATATTATATATATATATATATATATATATGTATATATATAATATATATTAAGAGAGAGAGAGAGAGAGAGTGTGTGTGTGTGTGTGTGTGTGTGTGTGTGTGTGTAATTACCTAAATGTAGTTACAGGATGAGAGCTACGCTCGTGGTGTCCCGTCTTCCCAGCACTCTTTGTCATATAACACGTTGAGACTACTGACGGTCTTGGCCTCCACCACCTTCTCACCTAACTTGTTCCAACCGTCTACCACTCTGTTTGCGAAAGTGACTTTTCTTATATTTCTTCGGCATCTGTGTTTAGCTAGTTTAAATCTATGACCTCTTGTTCTTAAAGTTCCAGGTCTCAGGAAATCTTCCCTATCGATTTTATCAATTCCTGTTACTATTTTGTATGTAGTGATCATATCACCTCTTTTTCTTTTGTCTTCTAGTTTTGGCATATTTAATGCCTCTAACCTCTCCTCGTAGCTCTTGCCCTTCAGTTCTGGGAGCCACTTAGTAGCATGTCTTTGCACCTTTTCCAGTTTGTTGATGTGCTTCTTAAGATATGGGCACCACACAACCGCTGCATATTCTAGCTTTGGCCTAACAAAAGTCGTGAACAATTTCTTTAGTATATCGCCATCCATGTATTTCAAAGCAATTCTGAAGTTAGAAAGCGTGGCATAGGCTCCTCGCACAATATTCTGTGTGTGTGTGTTGTGTGTGTGTGTGTGTGTGTGTGTGTGTGTGTGTGTGTGTGTGTGTGTGTGTGTGTGTGTGTGTGTGTGTGTGCTGGAGGGAGGGGGAGGG